CTGGAGAGCTGACCACAGCAAAGGAGCTACGGCATGGGACCACCCTGAACTCGTCCAACAGGCTGTCCAGATTGACGTTGATGGAGGGAATTTCCAAACTGAAGAAATCTGCTACAGGATCATGGGAAATGAGAGCGATGGCCACGAAAGTGAAGCGACAAGACAAGTTTACAGTACAGAGAGAAATGATGGAAATGGCGATGATGAGGATGTTGAAAACGACACAAGGAGAGAGAAAGCAAAAAGCAATTTCAGTTCCCAGACCACTGTTAGAGGCGAAGTCAGCGAAGGGTGTTGAATGTGTGTTGCAGCAGGAGAGGGGCACATCAGACTGTTTCCTGGCATTCTGCAGAGGGATTCTGTTACACTGAGCTATTGGGGAGGAAATGAAGCCTGTCCTGCAAAATCTCTGCTATGCTCATATAAAATATAAAGTTCTACATAAAGCTTTTTGCAGTTTTTCAGAAAGTAACAACAATAGAATCAACAGTTCACCACAATCAGCACTGGGGAATGTTACTTCAAAAAGTAATGCGTTACATGTACCATGCTCCTAAAAAAGTAGCTAATTCGATTACATTGCTACCTTTTATGGAAAGTAACGTGATACTATTGTATGGCGTCAAGTAGCCAAGGCTCTCGGCCTTCTAGAATGGTGGTTTCCTGCTTGGCTTGTAGATATTTTTAGGTAATTTTGCTGTGAAAAAGTATTTGTTCCCGACATTATTTGCCCGCAGCAACAAATATAACATAACCGCATTAATGGATGTTTAAATGTCACACAAAGACTGCATACGTTTTTTTACACAGGAATTACAATTGCTGGAAACAATGCATTACATGTATCTCTTTGTAACATGCTTGTTACAGATTTTAAGGTAGCTTTATTATGCAGTTTATCCATAACAGAATTTAGAGCCTTCATTTAACAGTGTAAAGACACTTAACCTTTAATAATCTGAGATGTTTCCAATTTTCCAATCAGAAAATTAACAGAAAAGTAACATTACTTATTATTTATGTGCCGTTACCATTACGTGTTACATATGCGCTGTTACCTATCACAGCGTAAATGTAAAAAGTAACACATTACCCAGACCAAAAACCAATAAATGTGACAAATCCTCATAACCAGTTTTAACCTATTGTGAAATATTTATTGAGGAAAATCTTTCGCCCTCATGTGCAATTCCCGATCACGTGGATTCATACTGAAATTTCTGGATTTCGCCTGTGAAAAACGCCTGCCAAACAACACTAAACCTGTTATGTGTTACATGTTTGAAAAAGTACCGCAGAGTAAATGTAAAAAGTAACACATTACTTTACTTGATACTCAACAAGAAATACTTGGCACATAACATTACGTTACTTGTAACGCATGTTACTTGTAACATGTTACCCCCAACACTGACCACAATGAACAAAATACTCCACACATAGACAACAAGATGGGTGCAAATTGAAGATGTGGTAACATTAAGAACCTTGTCAGTGGACTATGTGGACTGTGATTTGTGATTTGTGGACTGTATCTGATTGTGATGACCTCCCCTGTGTAAGAATGAGATGGACGCGGATGGACGACTGTGGGGGGCGGAGAGTTGTACTGTCGTCCTGAGATGGACTCGACTGAAAGAGAGTTTGGTTGGGGTTTACCTGGGCCCACCTATGTGGTGGTGGGGATATTGGGAGGGGGAATTGATCACGATGTGAGGTCAGGGCCGGAGGCATTGAGATGAACTTCGTAAGCGATGACGTTGGCAAATGTGTGATGTTGCTCGGAAAAGAAAGGCCATAAGCCATGCATAGACCAGTCTCACACCATGCACAGACTACACTGACAGAATGAAGAAGCCAAGGACAGCCCCGCGACTGGGAGAGAATGACAGAGCCGGAGAAGGAAGTGTTACGGTATGAGAGAGAGCATGGCTGCGGTAGAGGCCCCAGATTCAGCCACAGCACCAGGCCAGACGGTGTGAGATGAGGCTATGGCACGGTCACAGCAGGTTCTGGCTTACCCTAAATGTCCCCCTCACACTCAGCCCACACTCAGTCCCTGGCCTCACACAGCTGCAAGGTGCACAATGATGACAGGGGATAAAAGAGTCATACATCAATCAGTGCTCAGGAGAATGACTGACAGACACGCCTCACATGAGAGAACATACAATCAGTGCCATACAGTGGGCCACTAGAATGATACAAAGACCACAGAACCTTACTTTAGAGAAACATTCTCACACTGAAGCTGAGAAGATAATAAGGCCTTATACTGAACTTTAAAGATGAAGTGTGTAATTATTTGCATGTTAAAATGCTTCATTCTAGGTCAGTCTCATGTTGCCAGACCTTTGACTTGTGGCATAAAGTCTGGTCAACATAGCAGTTTGTAACATGACCAACCGAAGTTTATTTTGTTTATATTTTGTCGTCTGGGGCAACTTTATGAGAAAACTTGAAGAAAAATGGTAAATGTGACTGCACCTTCAATCCTGAAAGTTGAATGTGAAGTTAGCAAATCAAATTGGATTTGATGATTTTCAGCAAGTGCTTGCTAGTTTTTTCAGTAACAAATTTGAATCCCTTACGAAATCTGTGTGGGAAAAGCTTTCACCCTCATGTGTGATTCCTGATGGCATGGATTCCTATAGAAACGACTGGATTTCTCCCAGCCAAAGTACACCTAAACACGTCCACACTTGTACTCCTGAAAGTTGAAAGCAAAGCTACCCAACAATTTGAAGTTTTTTCTGCGTGACCTGCGAAATCTATGTCTGGATATCTCTCGCCTGGATTCCTATTGAAACGACTGGATTTTGCCCAGTGACATTTCGCTGAACAATGGTAAATGCAGACCTGCCAACCTGTACGCATTTTGCGTAGCGGGTACGCATTTTGACCTCAAAGTACGCTGGTATGATTTGTCACTCTAAACTATGCAAAAACCTGATGACGCCTCTGTCTACGCGCAATACTCAAGCACCTGCAAAAGAAGCGTTCGACCAATCATAGCATATTTGCAACGCTTCCGGGCAGCTCATCCAAGACCAAGTCCTATCTAAATGAATGGGGGAATCCTGAAATTTCAAAAACTGCCCTATGAACTCAGAAATAAATGACATATTTCAAATCAGCAACAAAATTTGAACTTAACTGCCCCATGAATGTTGTTTCTTATGCTCAAATAGCATTAAAAAAGCTTATTTTCAGGCTAGACCAGCCAACGCGCTTATGACTGTGCATGTGCATTGACTGGTCTAGCCGCAGGTTTCTATGGAAACCGGAGCTTCTAATGGCTGCTGCAGTGACGCAATGACTCTTTCATTTAGAAGGCGGGAAATATTCCGCCATATTGCGTGTTGCAGTTTCTCCCATTCATAAGTATAGGAGTGAACCATCTTTGTATTTCTATAGTCTTTGAAAGCACTGAGTTTAGGGCAGTCGGTTCGTAGTTATGCTTCAGCTGTGCGATACCCTCACGAGGGGCGAATTCTAACATGAATTCTGGAGCGCCATGAGTTCTATTCTGTGATGCATGTGTGGATTTTCTGCGCGAGGGCTCCCTCTGGCTTCCAGTATAAATTAAACAGACATTACATGTGTTTATAGCACTAAAAATGGCCAATCCATAAAAATAATACTAATAATACTCTTAAAATAAATTTGAAGTAGACATATGGTAATCCATGTTTTTCCACAGTGTACAGAAGTGTACTGGAGATTTAATTAAAGTGCACTGGAGTTTTCTTTTTAAAGAGCATTTTAAATCACAAATCTAAAATAAAAAAAATACTCTGATGTGCCAAGCTGAAAACCGTGGTTAAAAAAACCGAGGTATGTATTGAACCGTGGGCTAACTGTATTGTTGCATCCCTACTTTTTACTCTGAAATACTGTATAACAGGAATAGCACAAATATGTGTGTGTCTGAGTACAGACCTTCTAACCTTTGGGAAATATTTCATATTAAATCTTGAATTTTGCACACTGTGCAATTACAATTTTGACATTAGCCATCAAGGAGCTTCAGGTAATATTGTAGCTATCTAAGAATATGACACCCCTGACCCCCATGTCCCGTCCCATCACACTGATTGTAGACATTTACAAAACATTTTTCCAAGGTTAGCAGGTCTGTAAATGTGACTGCAACTGCACCCCTAAAAGTTGAAAGTAAAGCTAATCAATCAAATTGGAGTTGATGATTTTCATCAAGTTCTCGGCTCTTTATGAAATCTGAATCCTTATAAAAAGACTGGATTTCGCCTGTGAAAATTCACTGAACCACGATAAATATGATCGCACCTTCAGTCCCTGAAAGTTCAATGTAAAGCTGACCAATCTAACAGTCAACGATTTTCAGCGAGTGCTTGCCAATTTTTACCCTTTTTTTTACAACCTAAAGAGTGTAAACTCAGTGGCACTTTTAAAACACTGCTTGCTTCGTTTGAGCGGTCCAACACGTCCAACAACTTCTGGCTCAAGTAATGGCATGAAACTGGTGCAAGACTACCTGTTTGTGATGGAGCAGAAGAGTCGGTGGAAACTCTGTATGGAAAGTCATTATTTTTACAATTCAATTGGTCGTGCAAAAATTACACACTTCACTTTGTAGTAAGATATATACAGTATGTCCCTGTGCTTAAAGTGAATTCCCTTTGTTTCCATTTGTTCTTAAAATCTTAGAGCTAAAATATAATCCTGGGGATTCAAAAATAATCATAGTATACATCTCAAAGGCAACTGAATCTATGGGCACTCCATATTTAAGACAAACAAATGTCTTCACATTTCATATGGGGATCTGGCTCCTTAATGTCCACCGCCTGCGTAGGACGGAGAGACAGACAGTTTGAGAGAGGGACGCTGGACTCCCACTTGTGATGTTGCCACTGTGGCATGTTTACCTGTGGACATGCTCTCCCCGGGGGACAATCCGTCAAGTAGACCCTGCTCCAGGGGCTGGGGGGCCAAAGGGGGGACGGTGGGTGGCTGGGGAGGTTGGGCGGCACAGGGGCCAGTTTCTTAGAGGCTATAAGAAGAGAAAGATAAGACAAAATCAAAAATGCATGCAAGTAACCTTTACACTACGATCCTGTTTACACCTGGTATTAACATTAGTTTCGGGTGATCAGATCACAGATAGAAAGTGTTAAGGTGAAAATTGGGTGCAGTGCATCTTGGGAATTTCTTTACATTTAATGACTTTCATTTAAACTAAAAATAAATGTTATAATATTTTCCTTACACCTTGAATGCATGTGAGTGTGCACATCTAAATCATTATTATTATTATTTTATTTGTTTTTAAATATACACTTCAAAAGAAATAAGTATTTTTTAATATTAAATGAATTGTTACATCATGTATACAATTAGGTTTTGGGAGAGACATTTTACAACCTGAACACTTGAAAAAAAAGATTTTCTTCAGTATGACTTTTGATATTAAGTATTGTTTACTGAAAAAATTTATCAACAATTGTTTTAATTGTATTGTATTAAAGGCAGAGTAAGGGATTTCTGGTAGCCAATGTTGATATTTGAAATCACCAAAACAAACACGCCCCTACCCCAAAAGGGTCTTGCTCCTATTTTGATAGCTCCGCCCCACATATACGTATGCAACCCAGGCAACGATTAGTTCTGTGAAACAAAGCAAAGCCAATGTTACACCGTGTCTACGGACGTAAGCGGCGCGGCTCAACAAATCCCGACAGAAAACTGCTGCCATCTCTATCTTTCTGTCGCTCGGCTCGGCTAATGTCCGTCCCATGCACTGAACGTACGGACGTGAGTGGCGCGGCGCAACAAATCCCGACAGAAAACTGCTGCCGGGTTCTATTTATGACGTGCTGATACAAATTTCAAATGTTTTTCAATGGTCGTTTGATCGCGTCCAGTGTAGTCAGACTTTAGCTGTTGTAGACACGGTGTTACTCACCTATTGAGAAGAAACAAAGCAACCTCGGCGTCCGATCGCAGGCCTCCGCTCCTTGAGTTCTCTCCAGCGCTGGAAAGCTGATCCAATATTTACACGGGTCCTACTTCTTTGCCTTATCGTTCCGCAGACGTTTTCCTCTTTTGTTTTTTATCCACCATCTCTATCTTTCTGTCGCTCGGCTCGGCTAATGTCTGTCCCATGCACTGAAAGCTCTCTCCTCCACATCACGAGACGAGTAGACACGCCCCTTATTGCTGATTGGCTACAAGTTTGTTTTGCTATTCGGCCCGAATCAGTTTTCTAAAGTGTTTTTGAAAAATCACATACCCTGCCTTTAATTGAGCTTATGCTTAAAACAAGAAAAAATATCTGTCAGTGGGGTATGAAAAATCATCTTGTTTTCTCTTTGAATTCAGTTTGTTTTTCTTAACCCTCTGACAGGTATTTATTTTTGTTTTACACATCAATTTACTTAATATTGATACATTTTTCAGAAAACAAGACTTGATATCTTAAATAATTTTCCTTAAATAAATGTATACAGTAAATTAAACAGTTTTGTTAAAAATACTCTTTTTCCAAGAATTATTTTTTTTCAAACTAATAAGGTTTTCTTTCAAGAATTGCATTATTTTAATGAGGCATTTTTCTTCATTATATCAAGACAGTTATATCACCCTGACTTTGTTTTTTAATTTATGGCCCCCAAAACACATCAAATGAAATTGAATTGAGAAATTAAAGTTCCCCTATTATGCCATTTCGAATATTGCCTTTCATGCAGTGTATAATGTAGCTGTATGTGAATGTAAACAATCTGAAAAGTTGTAAAGCCGAAAGTGCATGATAAATAAAGTTATTGTCTCCCAAAAGAAAAGGAGGGGAAAGGAGGGGTTTAGAGAGACTGAATCTTAGAACTGCTTTGAACAAATCGTTTAAGAATCGTTGGAAAATGAGGTGATTTCAAATGCATATTTTGAGAAAACTAAAGCATTTTTGACCTTGTTTTTTGATTTGGGTGACTCCCTAAACAATATTAGGAAGCTTAAAAATGGCATAATAGGGGCACTTTAAAAACATGCTCATCATAGAGGAGGTGCATTCGAGTCACTGTACCTATATTGCTTTTTTAATGCAACTACCTAACAATATAACGCTAATCATTGTAGCAAAACAATCATTTTACTAACTAAAATAACCATCCCATTGTAAAATTTGTAAAAAAGTCCACCTATATCCACATGCACAATGCTTCACAGTACAATACAAAGAATTACAAAGCACATACTGATGTAGTAAGTGATAAGTCACAAAATCACCTTGACAGAATCAGAAACACGTGTTATAACCAGATGCATACTGATCTGATCACCCAAGACAGACATTATACCAGATTTAAAGAGGATTTTATCTGTAGATTGAATTTAAAAAAAAAAACAGAATTAAAGAGGAATCCCAGTGGGACGAACCTTTGTGTAAGGTGTGGGGGCTGTGCTCGGCAGAGTGAGGAGACTGGCTGTTGCTCTGCTGACCGCTGACAGGGGGCACTGTTGCTCCTGACGCATGCACAGACTTGTGGCCAATCACAGGAGAGAGCTCCTTGCTCTTCAGAGTGCTGGAGAGAGAGACAAACATGACTGCCTGCCATCAATCTGCACCCACCGTATCATTAATGACTAATAGCGTGCAAGGACCTCTCACCTCCCCCGTCAACGAAACTAAAAACAGCGACTTAAGTGCTAAGAAACGTCCTGCTGGTTTTGATTGTGTCTGAATGCACCATGACATAACATTATTGACTTAACTGACGTGGGAATCGAACCCATGACTTTTGAGTTGCTGGTGTCATGCTTTACCAGATGAGCTACAAGAACGTAAACAGAACTGTGACAAAATCGATGCTATATTTTTGTTTTTGCTTAAACATCCACAACTAAAATCTGCTTGCATGTGGGTGTGAAGTGATTGTTTTCAAAGACATGTGAAGGTGGATTTACACAGAGTGTTTCTCATGCACGTCAGCAGGAGGGGGATTGAGTGTCCTTGCCCAGCAAACACACACACACACGCAGCATGTATCTTTAATATAACTGAGCATGTGGAGCTTGTTTTTCACTCTGACAGCTCTATTCAGGCGCCTCTCTGCTAAACTATGGGGAAGATAAATCTATGTGAACACATGGACACATGAGTCCTCTACATCTATATCCGTGCAGACATGCAGAGAATGATTCTGCAATATCTGCATCTATGTGACCACGTTTGGAATGAATCCGTCACATCTATGACTCAATCTCTGCAGTTCCCTGCGACTTGAATGAAGGCTCATGAGGGTAGATGTGGAGGGGATCCTGTGCCATTGCAATAAACAGTCAACATCATTGGTAAAATGGCTAACACTGGCTCTACTGATGCTTACCGCTCCTAATAAAGATCTTAGATTGATCTTTATTTCACTGATGGTGTCTGCATGTGCAGCAAGCGATGGAAATTCATGTAATTCCACTGACATTCCTGCAACCTTTCAAACAACCCGGGAGACTGATGATCCAAAAAAAAGAGCATTCGTATACACAATTCCCACCTCAATTAAATGTATGGCCTACATTGCTGTGAAACATCTGATTTCTAATTTGATTTTGGTAATTGTTTCAGCCTTATGACCATTTACCAGTGCGTTTGGCTTTAGAGTTCTCAAATACAGATGGCTATTAAGTAGGGAAGAGTTTAATCTTGTTTAAACGATTATATTTCATGTGGCTCGAGATGTCTCTTGCTTTGTTCCAAAATCTAGTGAGCTGCCCTTGCTGCCCTTGTTGTCAGCAGCTACCTACTAAGACAGCATTGTAACTGAAATGAACATTGGAAGTGACTGATCTGAAATCAAGCGTAAGCGTTGTTTCTTGCAGGTCACGTTAGTCAAGCTCGCATCAGCTGACTCTCAGCTGATCCCCATCTACCTATGGGAATACGAATTCATGGGCACTAGTTCGGTAAACCAATGAAATTATAGTTTGTGGTTTTTAGTCCATGTCTATTAAGATGCGGTCACTAGGGCTGTAAAAAAAAATCGAATTTCGAATATTCGTCGAATTTAAAAAACAAATCCACATTCGAATGCAAAAACCTTGCATTCGAATTTTAGGTCTGAGTCAGCCGTCAGGCAGCCTTATCAGTGGCGCACGAGATGCGATGACGCCAAAAGCTTTTTTCCCCCTAATTGAAATTATTTTTACATTTTTATAATATTTAAGTAGAAAATTCGAATTTAGTTTTTCAGTCATTTTGACAGCCCTACTTTACATATGTTAGTGTACTCTTAAAAGTTAACAAACTTTAAGTAGATACACATTTAAAATAGTTTTGTCTATAGAGAAAACGAAGTAAGGGACTTAAAATATTGACCTGCACTATCCAAATGTTTGTCCAATTAATTGCTCTCTAGAACAAAAATATCTTTCCTTTTCAAACCATCTATTTCTGACTAGCCACAGGGAGTAGCTTATCATGGTTCCCAGCTAAAGCCTAACGTATAATTATGATGCAAATGCTTAGCGTATGCGTAAAGCCAAACACATAGCCTTTTTAGTATACTTCATTTGATAGCGTGCACATGCGCACTAGAAAAACTGAAGTCTACATTGGGCTTAAGATGAAGATAGACAAGCTAAAGCCTTTTGGCTATTCATAACAAGCCCTTTGATATGTCCCATCCTAACTTTTTTTTTTTCTGCAATAATCCAAAGCCAACAGAAAAACCCTATTGGGGTTTTGGTGAGGTTAACCAGGATGACGCGAACCCACAAGTTGGCCCAAAAATACTAGTGATTAGACAAAAATACTAATCACTTCAGTACTCTATAGTGTCAAACATTTACAGAATGGATGCATTTTACTTAGATGACTTAGACTTTCTAAGAACTGAGGAAATGTAAGTGGCAAATTGGCAATCAGATTATATCATTGCAATTGATTTTGGGAAGTCCTTAAATTTCTATTTTCCAAAGCTATCACATAAGGCCAGAATAAATCTGTTTCCTATTGTTTGGAGGAGTCTTTGTGTTGGGAGAGCGCCTATGATGACTAAAATAGATGCCTAGGTGGGCAGCTCATTAGGTTTTGGAACAGAGCTGGTGTTAATGTTCATGCACATCAAGTATGACTATCCCAGTGAGCAAACACAACTCATGACTCAATGTCACAATCAATACATTCATAAGCATAATACATTCATGTCATCATATGCAGCTCCATCAATGTATTTATTTCTACCAGGGTTATTATAGTTATAAACTAAAACTGGAACTAAAACCATTAAAAATGTTAGTTGAAATAAAATAAATGTTAACTGAAATTCAATACAATTTCAGCTAGCTGCCAAGGCAATGTTTTAATTTAGTTTAACTTGATATACTAAAACAGCTAAAACTGAAATAAAAATAAATAGACAAATTAAAATAACTACTAAAAACAAAACAAAATTACTCAAATTTTAGCTAAAATTAAAATAAAAACAGAAAATATGAAATGATTCAAAATATTAAAACTATAAACCTATCTCAATGACAGCACTGATTTCTACTTGAAGGATCCACTTTCACTAAACACCAGTAACATCCTCAGTTGCTAGGCAACCTCAGGCTTTCCCAGACAATGAGAATGTTACGGTATCTGCGTGATGGGACTGAAAAAGCAATAACATTACAAAGCAAGTTCCAAAAACAAGATGGAAAAGTGGGAGCCAGTATGGAGTGATCTGAGGTGAACGCTCAGACAGTGTGGGGAGCCCTGATGGCCGTCACAATGTGTTTTGCGAAGGCGGGGTGGCCGCAGGCAGGTGGTATTTACCTAGTCAGCCTGGGGGGTCCTCTCTCGCGGGCACATGGACAGGCAGCCCACGGTGGGGGTGCGGAGGAGGGGAGGCTAGGGGGGTTTCCGAGGGACATGTCGTGGCGGGTCAGCACGAGAGGGGTTTTAATGTAGAGGGGCGAGGCATTGGCGTCAGGCGGAGCGGCATGCGGCGCATCACACAGGGGCCCGTGTTTGAGAAAGTGCAGGCAGCTAGGAGGCTGGGACTCGGGACCGGGGGCGACAGGCCGAGCGCAGGGAGGGGGCTTGGGGTAGAAGTGCTGAGGACCGGGATGGGAGGATGAGGACGAGGAAGGGTACGGAGGGGGTGGCCGCTCCTCCGCGTGGGACGAATAGACATGTGAGGAATCCGGCCGATTGGGCGACACGTCGTCTGAGCTGCAGATATTGAAAACAATAAAGAGCAAACACAGGAGAGAGAGCTCTGGTCAACTGCACACGCATGACAGCGCACGCTCAGACAGTGTGGGGAGCCCTGATGGCCGTCACAATGTGTTTTGCGAAGGCGGGGTGGCCGCAGGCAGGTGGTATTTACCTAGTCAGCCTGGGGGGTCCTCTCTCGCGGGCACATGGACAGGTGGCCCACGGCGGGAGGGCGGAGGAGGGGAAGTGGATGTTTAGCTCCAGCTGTGGCTCGCTAGCATTATACAATATTGATAATACTCTCAGGATCCTTTGGTCTGCATGTTTGTCTCAAGCTGGTATGAGCATTTAGCCAGTTTAGCGTGCGGCAATGAGCAACAGGTCTAGCAAACAGCAAGCTTAGCAACGAAAAAGAGGCGCCATCCGACTCCACTGGCAGGAAAAGCACAGCAATGCATTAAAATTAAAAAAGAAAACAGAAAATTACACTGAAAATGACCTTGTGTCTGCGCACTGCACTGAGGAAAGAAAAAATCTCTTTGAACAACCAAACATCAGAGAGAGTTTGGTGAATATACTGTACAAGAGCTAAGCACTGAAACCAAGGTCTCTAAATATGGTGAAAACCCAGAGCAGTTAAACACAGACACAAAAACCCTTTCATTGCCTGAAAGAGTGTCAGCGGGTGGGAGGTAAGCCAGTCAAATCATCAGCCATTGCAAACCCTAAATACAATGACTGAACCATGGCATAACCTTGGCTTCATTAATGTATGATTTGCATATGGGCTTATGGGTTGATTATTAGTGAAATTGAATGAATAGAAAGCCACAGCAAGACCAATCCTACCAAACTGTGATGGTTTAACCACACTAAATGATCATATAGGCCTGTACACACTGCAAAAGCATCAACAATGGCATTCAAATCTGGTAGTGAATCCTCTAAGTTATCGTTCTGGGTGTGAACAGAGTACAGGAGTCACTCCTGAAATTGCAAATTAGAAACAATGTAAGCGTCATCTATTTTAAGATACTAATGAAGTGTAAATGTAATAAATAATAAATAAAATGTAATATATTCATTTGAATGTAAGCTGGATTTTCAGCAGCTGTCTGACAGTAATCAGTGATGAGTACTACTGTAATATTAACCCTGCCTGGCTGACGTTTGAAAATGATTAACAGTTGAAAACATTTGTTAGAAAAAGTAATCAAATGTAATTAGTTGCATTACTTTAAAAAGTCATTGAAATAGTTAAACTACTTAATAATGTAACTTGTAATCTGTAGCCTATTACATTTCCCAAGTAACCTTCCCATCTTTGCTAATATGCTGATTTCCTGCTCATTTCTTATAACCATCAATATTGAAACAGCCGTGCTGCTTAATATTTTTTGTGGAAACTATGATACATTTTTTCAGGATTCTTTGATCAAAGTTCAAAAGAACAAAAATTAAAAAGTCTTACTGACCCCAAACATTCGATCATTCGTGTCCCTCTTCCCCTGAGATCTTCTTGCCTCACATCAGGAGAAGAGAGACTCGCTTGGGCTTTTAATTACATTGCAATAACTAGCTGTAGAGTTTGGATTTGTTTAATGTAAATGCGGTTCATTTTTGTTGCAGAATGCGGATGTCACACAACTGAAGTCTGTGTGTACAAAACAGGATGAAGAACTCAAAAGAGGCAACTGTATTTATCTGCAGTGTGTACACGGCCATACTGACTGCACTACTGTACGTAAAAATAAAAATAAAACACTTCTATTTATAGATAAAGACTTTTATAGGTAAAGAACAAGGAAAGCATAGAAGAGCAGAGGAAATGATGTCATTAATACACAAATGCAGGGAAAGCAAAAGAGTTAATTGCTGAATGGAAAACAATGAGGTCACAAGTTAGTTGATGCAACTAGACAATGGAAAACAGGTAGAGGATGATGGGAATCATGTGTTGTTGTTTTTACCTGCCCCTGTCTCCAGGAGGGGGAGTGGGGATTGGAGATGTGGCCAGCTCACCGGGCTGCTCCGTGATCAGGGTGTCCGCAGGCGAGCCGGGCGCTTGTGGAGGCGTGGATGAGGCTTTGCGGGCCAGTGTAGAGGAACTTTTGCCCTTCACCCACGACGTGTCCATGACTCTGACACCCACACTGCCCACATAAAGACCCACAAACCATCAATCACAACCACTACAGAAAACACATCTAGATTTTGTGACTTTACAGGAATGTTAACCCTCTGATGCATGATGCCAACTTGCCACCTTGGGTGATTATCTTTGACCATTACCCATCATTTTATATGACTGCTCTCTACGTGTCATGTATTTTTTATTTATGATGTAATATTACAATTTCAAAAAGGCTGACAAAAGTGGTGAAGGTCATTTGAAAGAGAGGCCGGATGTGTAACTCTCTAAATTATGATTATATTATAAAAAATTTTTTTTTTTTTTTCCTTTTAAAAAGAAAATGTTTTTGTCATTTAATAATTCATGTGTCAGAGGGATAAACAAACTTTATAGTAACTTGCATCATTACAATCAATTGTGATTGTAACAAGATATAATTAGACAATAGAATATGATTTGGATTCAAATTTTGATTAATACACATTACTGTTCAAAAGTTTAGTGTTGGTATTTTTTTTTATGTTTATGAAAGAAGTCTTTTATGATCACCAAGACTGCATTATTTGATCAAAAATAAAGTAGAAACAGTAACATTGTGAAATATTATTACAATTTAAAATAATTGTTTTCAATTTTATTGTTTCCAAATGTGATTTATTCCTGTGATGCAAAGCTGAATTTTCTGCATCATTACTCCAGTCATCAGTGTCACATGATCCTTCAGAAATCATTCTGTCATGCTGCTTAATATTTTTGACATATAATATAATTATATATTATAATTAAATATATAGACATAAAATATATAATATTTTTGCAATATTAAAATAGAAATCTTTTGTAACATTATAAATGTTTTTTTACGGTCACTTTTGATTTATTTAATGCATCCTTGCTTAATAAATATATACTTTCTTCTTCTTCTTCTTCTTCAATAAATAAATAAATAAACAAACCTGACCACAAACTTTTGAATGGTAGAGTTTTTATATTTAAACATACATGCATGACTGTCCTGTTAAACAATACAGAAATGTAATGATTGTTCATTAAGTTATTAAAAAGTGTTACCAAAAACAAAGTCAAGGTATAACAGAAAAGGTGGACAGTACCTTTGAATTTTCCTAATGCTGCGTTAAGTGTGGATAAAATAACGAGTGTAGAGGAAACACAGTGAGTTTACATTTAACAGTAATGTAAATTGCAATGTAGAGTAAGCAAAAGTAAATGACATGAGGACAGCTAAATGAGAACTGTGTAGCATGCAGTGGGGGACATGTGTAGTTTGACAGGGGATCAGGGCGGTCCAGAGGTGAGAACATGTCAGCCTAAATGAGCAACTGGCACTCTTGCCTGCTGCGACACCATTATGCCTCATTTACTCTAATTGCTTTTACCCCGAGAGCTGTGGACATAAACAATTAGACACTTAGCCTCCCCTTTAACGGTGGATCAGAGTCTCTAATTGTTATGTAATCTATAAAACTTGTCTGTGTGTTTGAAATGACAGCAGACATCAGGGGCATTTAAACATGAGGAAATGTGAGGGAAACGGCTAGATGTCATGGAAATACTCATATAAGATTAAATATGAAATGAAAAGCTAAAGCTTAAAAAAAATAAATAAAGCCAGTAACTGCAGAAATTTTGTCATAAGCTTGTTTAAATGTCTGTAATATTGTTGCAACAACATGAATATAAAAAATTCATAGTTTTGTAAAAGATGCACATTTCAGATACCCCCCCCAGCCCCCGAATTATGAATTTAAATGTTTTTTTTTTCACGACAAAATAAAAAAATAAAGGTAACTGCATTTCAGACATTTTTCTCTGAATTCTGAGTTTATATCTCGCAATTCTAAATTTAAATCTCACCATTCTCAAGTTATGTCACAATTCTGACTTTTTTCTCTGAATTTTGACTTAAAATCTCACAGTTCTAGAGTTTAAATCTTGCAGTTCTGACTTTTTTCCTCAGAATTCTTTACATCTCACAATTGTTTTTTTTTTCTGACAGATTTAAAAATAAAAAAGGTAATTGTGACTTTTTATGTCATCAACTTTCTTGAGTTTATATCTCACAATTCTGACTTTATATTTCACAATTCTAAAAACAAAACACAGAATTGTGAGACATAAACTTAGAATTGCAAGAAAAAATAGCCTGAATTGTGAGATATAAAGAAAAAAAAATCGCATTTACATTTTTTTTATCCTGTGGCAGAAACAAGCTTCCAACATTTTCTGACTTTATGACATTTCTCTGCAAGGCAGCCAAGCAAAATAAACTTCCTAAAAAGTGTACACTGAAAAAAAATGGTAACACTTAAGTGTTTTTTTAATCAAAAAAGTGAAAAATATTACTTAATATCACTGATATTACTTAAAGTCCCCATGAAATCAAAAGTAAAGTTTTTTGGGTGTTAGTATCAATATGTTAGTCTTAAGGTTATCTATAAGGCAGTGTGCTCCAAAACAGTGACACAATTCGCATTTAGAAGATATAAGCGTTCAAAGCTTGCAGTTCGTCATTTCCGCCAAAATGGATCAACGATTTTTTTTAGGTTTCCTGTTTCAGTTAAAATGGCGTCAACACAGAGTAAAGCTGCGTGTTTCTAAGCATTTCAGGGGACCTTTAATATCACTAAATAAACCTAAATACATAAGATTTTAGCAGTTAAATTAGGTAGAAATATAGGTAAAAATTGCAAGTCACCATTTTTTTTACAGTGTAGGGGGAGTGAAATTAACAACATCTAAAAGTAGTGTGGACATGCTCCCCCCAGTTATAATGGCTGCCATTCTTCTTCCATAAATCATTTCATTAAAGCACTTGCAAAAATGATTCCACACAGCCCTGCATTTAATATGTGGTAATTTGGCAGCAATGTTTGCCAAATATTTGCCAGAATGCAATGTTTGTCATAAGCCAGTCTGGAGTAGGACTCCGTCTATCAGAATTTTGGATCTCCTCCTCCGTATGCGGTATTTTTCCACCTGCTGGAGCATTGCAGGTGACATGAGTCAGAGCCTGGCACATCTGCCTCATGTCTCTGTCGATAGTGGCAGAAATACAGCCCCCTCAGAGAATGATAAGTGAGCCGCGGCCCTCCTTCAACACTCCATCCACGTTACCATAGAGACCGTGGCAGCCCATCAGCCCAAGATCAGCTCTATTCAAATGAGGGCAGAACTCCAATTGAGAACAAATGACACTGAAAGTTTACTGGATAACGAAGTGACTGACGTCCCAGTCTAAGTGAATTAGTCGCTGAACACATTAGCTATCTGCCGCTGTCTCCTCTGCCACTGCTAATTGGTTTAAGCGGCACTATCGAACCCTGTCAATAATAGGCAATTACTGCAATGATGTTTAATTTAAAAGGATAATTCACAGGAAAAAGAAAATTCTGTTGTCATTTTCTCATGTTGATCAAACCGCATGTGACTTTCTTTTTTCCATGGAACATTAAAGGTTAATATCCTGGCCACTGTTATAATTTATATATATATATATATATATATATAAAATGTGCACAAATTAAATTTTTTTAAAGCTCCAGATTTGCTGTGCTTGTTTAAAAGTGTTGCACAATTTGGCCAAAATTGCTGCAATTATGTATCTGCATAACTATAAAAAAAAATATTATATATATATAAACACACACACACATACATATACATGTGTGTACATATACATATAAAAATATAACTTTAAAATACTACTACTAAAAATATAATAATATATAATATTGGTATTATTATTATTATTAAATAAAAATATAAAAATAAGCATTACTATTGTAATATTTTTCTGTATACAAAATATATATTTTAAGTTTTTAAGAAAAATAACAAAAATAATTGTATTTTACATTACTGCTGTAAAAAATTGCAAAACTAATATTTATGGCTTAATTTTCAAACGTTAAACCATCAAAAAAAATTTTTCGAAGGAAAGCCACATCATAAAGCATCTCTTTTGTTGCCATAGTGCTGCTCTTTAAAAGTTTGGGAAGATGGTTGACGCATGTTGTTTTCCCAAATGCCCGTTTTAAGTGACCCAAACTACGAGTAGATGCATTTACTGTGAACTGAGCTGCTTTAAGAAACTGAAAACACTGGATCATGAGCTGCTTGTGTATAAATAAACACAGTGCTACGCTTCACTCTGAAACCCACAACTCATATATTTATTTCATTAATTTGCAGCCTTTGAGATTTGATATCCACACTAAACCATATTGCGATTTTGGTTTTATTTCAATTAATTGTCTAATCCTACTAGCCAGGATATTCTTCAAAAATCTACCTTTTGTTTCATGGGAAAAAAAATCATACAGGTTTGGAACGACATGAGGGTGAGTAAATGATGACAGAATCTTCATTTTTGGGTGAACTGTCCCTTTAAGAGATAACGAAGTGACTGACGTCCCAGTCTAAGTGAATTAGTCGCTGAACACATTAGCTATCTGCCGCTGTCTCCTCTGCCACTGCTAATTGGTTTAAGCGGCACTATCGAACCCTGTCAATAATAGGCAATTACTGCAATGATGTTTAATTTAAAAGGATAATTCACAGGAAAAAGAAAATTCTGTTGTCATTTTCTCATGTTGATCAAACCGCATGTGACTTTCTTTTTTCCATGGAACATTAAAGGTTAATATCCTGGCCACTGTCCCTTTAAGAAGTAAGGATGGTATGAGAAGCTAATGGAAGAGTGTGGGAGGGAAAAGGAAAAGAGGAGAGATGGAGGAGGCTGACAGAGACATGAGTGCAGAACAACCTACCCATCCTTCTTGTAGAATTCCAGCATCATGTTGTCAGTAGCAACACTGAGTGGGCGTCGGCTCTGGTCATGCTGCTGCTTGCGCTCTGATTGGTCCATATCGGGCGAGGGCATGGAGCTGTAATTGGAGTTGTGGTTGGTGTGAACTGGGCTGCCATAGCTGCCTGTCAGGTTGAACTCAATATCTAAGTATAGCAAAGACAAATCAGTCCAAATCTTGCAGGAGAAAACGCATGTGTGTATGTGCGAATATGTTTTCACAACTCTTTCTATCTAACCTCCAGGGAAGAACCAGTCAGCATGCTGGATGATCGGCTCAATGATGCCAACGATTTGCAGCGACATGGTGGTCATCATTTCTGTCATGTTCCTGTGAAGATCAATGACCCATTTGAGCATTATATACTTTAAAATATAAAACTACTAGATACATTCAAGAAGTAGTATACCTAAAAATGTCATTAACTTATGGTGATCCAAAACTGTATGCCTTTCTTGCTTTTGTTGAACACAAAAGGCAAGATTTTAAACAATCCTCATGCAGTTCTGCTCCATACAACAATATTTCACAGTGACCACATCTGTAGAGATCCAAAAAAATTAATTGTCAGTCAGAAGACACAGAAAACCTTCACATGACTTCAAACAACTTGAAATATAGTGCAAAAGCCATATGAACTACTTTTATAGTGTGTTTTTATCGTTCTTGAAGCTTGACAGACATGGTCACTATGAACTGTTTTTGTATGGATTCTTCAAAAGTGCTTATTTTTGTATTAATCATATATTATTATTATGGTATTCATTATTTTGATTTAGCTTTTTTTGCACATTTGTAGATTTCATTTAGCTTAAATAATTGTGTTATGTGCATTGCTAATTTTTCCTTTTTTTGTCAATATCTGTATTTCGCTTTAATTTATTTTTTTGCTTCTGCTTTAGTTTTAGCAATTTTAGCACTTCAACCTAAACTTCTATTTTTCTCAGATTTGAAGTTTTTAATCGAATATTTATTTATATTTTATTGTAATTGTATTTCTTTACGAAAATAATTTTCATCAGTGTGTTTTAGTTAACCTTAACAACACTGTGCTCCACAGAAGAAAAATAATAAAGTCATAAAGTCATAAGTCATATGCACTGCAAGTACTAACAGAATTTTAATTTTTCAGTGAACTGTCCCTTTAAATTGCTTTGTGAATTTGCTGCTCTCCACATAAATGTAAGAAATAATCCAAAGGGAAGACATGCACTCACCCTTCTGAATGTGTCCACAGCAGGTTGGGTCCGAGAACTATTGCAATATTACCCGGTGTCATTTTATTAGCATCTTGATGCTCTGTGAGTTTGGCTAAGAACTTGATTAAATATCTGTTTAGAAAAGAAAGAAAAAACTTCAGTTTCAATCTCAGTTTGACCAAAGGGTTTAGCCCTGGCATTCACTCTGACATTTGCTATTCCTGTCGTCGCTGTATATTATCAATATTTCAGTAGGTCTGACAGAAGGCAGGTGCAGTCAAACAGCCAAGACCCACAGCATATATCTAGAAACCTTGCAATATAGGCTAGAAGTAAAGACGTGCCAAATATTCACAGGATTTGTTAGCTGAATTGTAAATAAAATGCGTAATCAATATGAACACAGGCATCTTTATTTTCTTAAACGGAAGCTTTGTTTGGACTCAATCCTGGATTGATTATGTATTATTTATTGTGTGGCTCTTATTCTTTGGCCAAATCAGTCAGGGTGAAATTAAAGGCTGAATTTGTCTTTGCCAGAGACAGCTTCTGTATAGTTGTCACACTAAACAGGTTAGGCGGAAGGACATTTCCAAACTCAAAAAGATTCTCAGTAGGACTAATGAACTTTTTATTTCAAAAACATGCCCACTTCCTGTCAGTGAAGGAACTGCTGCATCGCTCATGATTTGACGGAGATTTGACACCCCTCTCTTCTAATGAGCTCTTGCATTCATGACTCATTCAAAGGCAAAGGCCTCGTCAGAAATAACAAATAATAAGTAAATAACAAGCACCACACACCTGAAGTTGTTCAGATTGTCTGCTGGTAGTTTCTCACATGTACACAAAAGGGCTTGGAGCCTTTTATCCATATCTTGAATACTAGAGAAAGGACACAGGGAGAGATGCATTATGGTACAGTATACAGTATAAGAATAAACTGCTGTATGTTCATGGGTGCAACTAAACTTGACCCCCCCCACACTGCGATTAACCCACACAGAAAAAGATAAACATTTGGCTGATTTTAGTGACAAATCTACCATTGTAAATTTAATGTTAAAGGGGTCATATGCGATGCGATTTTAATTTTTCCTTTCTCTTTGGAGTGTTACAAGCTCTTGGTGCATAAAGAAGATCTGTAAAGTTGCTCAGACCGATGAACTTTATAAAAATCGACACGTTTCAGAAAGGCGGGGCATAGAGGAGAAACAATAATGTACAGTATGTGGAAAATAATGTGTTTTTTGAACCTTAAACCGCATAAACACATTTCATTACACCAAATACACAAAATAATGTTCTTTTTAGCAACATCATATGACCCCTTTAAGTTCACTTAACATACAATTACAGTATATACATTCAGTATAAAAACTATTACACTAGTAGTTTACTGAGAGTATAATCCAAAGGTAAGCTAATACTAACAGCTACACATTCACTTACACTATAATACACAGAAGAGAAGAAATTGTTGAATAAAGTCGTTAATTTTTGTTTTCTTTGCACACAAAAATTATTCTTGTAGCTTCATAAAATTACGGTTGAACCACTGATGTCACATGGACTATTTTAACCATGTCCTTACAACGTTTCTGGGCCTTGAACATGTTCAATTATGGGTGAACTATCCCTTTAAATCCAGCCTCACTACCCAGAGCACATGTTCATTTCCAAGATTTCAATTACAGAGAGCTTCATCTGCAAAGCATCGGTTGTGTACAAACAGCTGATATACATCTTTAAAAAAATCTATTTTACATATGTGACTCTGGACCACAAAACCAGTCATAAGGGTCATTTTTTTTCAGCGACTTAAGCCTGGTTTTGTGGTCCAGGCTCACATATATTCTGAGTGATAAACATCTTAAAGACATTTTCTAGATCTCTATATCTTTTGATTTTTTGTTTTGTTTTTTCCCAACACAGGAAACATCTTACATGAGGCTTACAGGAGGCATATTGCAGATAAGCAAATGCTCTAAAAATACATCTTCCAGATGTAAACTCTGTAATGTACGTTTGCTATCAGGGTACGTTTTGGAACCGAGCAAATGTCTCACATGTATCTGAAAATGGCAAATAGTACTGGCTAATGGAGTGTGTGTTGGGTTAGACCATCGATACTTACTTTGAGGCTTGAATCCATTCATCATAGAGTTCAAAGGTCATTAGAGGTTCGGGAAGTTCACGAAGATAAGACTTCAAAGCTCCTGAGGGAAGCAGATGAGGAAGGAAAGAGGTCAGAGGGAAGAACAAGAGAGTGAAAGAGGCAGGGACATGGTGAAAGAGGGAAGCACAGCACGTGTGAAAGGACGTGACTGGAGGTGTGATATTCTCTGCTTGAAATACTAAGGAGAAGCCTGACAAATGAGCTGTCATGGCCACAATCAGCGTGTACCACCTGTCGGCTGTGGCCCCCCTACCTGGCGGCTACTAGGTCACGCTTCAGGCCCAGTGTAATGAGATCAAATTAACCTGGGACATAATTTAATGCGAACTGCCATGGGGTCTGAGACTTTGTAGCTGCGATCCACTAAAAGGACACTGCGGATAGATCAGTGAACATTTTAAAAGCTAAGAGGTGAGAGGCAGATGCTCACCTGCGATGGCATGTGGGTCGGCCGAGTACTCCTGCACATCCAGAACCCCGCAGTCCAGAGATGCTTTAAGTTTCTTCAGCTTGGAGGCTGAGGGAGCTACCCGAAATAAACCCTAATGTGACAGGAAGAGTAAAGTTAAGACCTTTTTGGCCATAAAATCCCAAGCCCTGTCCCAAATGGCATCCTTGGCCCTCATGTAATTAAATTTTTTATTTTTTTATTTTTTGCAATAGATCAGTGGTTCTCAACCTGGAGGCCGGGGCCCGCTAGGGGGTCTCAGCAAACTTCCAATGGGGCCTCAAGATAACTAAAATGTACTTAAATTAATAAATAATGGGTATTTAATTTTATCAGTTAAACTTGAAGTTCAAGTACATTTTCAAAGTATGTTTTATGTAGTAAGTATATTAATATCAATGCATTGTACAAACAGTACACTTGTGTACTATTTAAAAAAATAAATAATAATGAACGTTCTTTTTTTGTTTGTTTTTATACTGAAAGTGTAAAAAAATCCATAGATCAATTTCATGACAAATGTTTACAGAAAAGTGTATATTATAAGTAGAGATGCAACTCATCCTCTTAATTAGCAAAATTATTATTCATATATTCAAATAATCAAGCCGTAACCTAAATTAGATCAACTAAATTAATCTAAACTGAATTAGATACATTTATTTCTTATAAAATATGTATTATAATAAATTATAAATTATGTAACATAAAAATAATAAATAATATTTTTTACCACATGTTCTTAATTTCTGAAATAAAAACAATTTATTATGGGTAATTTAATAACTTTGTATAGTTAATACATACTTCACGAATGACATGTAAAGTAGAGGTCTGCATTCCCGCTGCTCTCCCGCGGGAACCACGGGACCCGACCGAATTTTTTGCGCCACGGGATTACATTCCCGAATAAAACTCGGTAGCGGTCGGTAACTCTGGTGTAATTTGAATGGGAGCGGGCGGTCTAACAATATCCCGTTCCCGACGTCCATTTAGAACAGCATATCTGCGCTTAGAACAGGCAGGTTGTCGATGAGTGAAAGAGCAGAATAAGGATGGAGCAAAGTGTGGATGCGCTGTCCTTTAAGGACGCTCAACTCGGTTTTGTTTATATTTTGCTTAGCCTATAATTTTAAATAAAAGATGTCATATTTATTTATTTTTCGCTGCGACACTTTTTCCCTATTGTGTTGTCAATGTTAAACGAATTG